AAAAAAAAAAAAAGAAAAACAGTTAACCCCCAAACCTCCAGGCTCCTTACTGTGGCCCACAAGGCTCTGCCACCACCCCTGCCCATGCCACCCAGCCTTATCTCAGCCCATCCGCCTGCATGCTCAACTCCCACTATACTGATTGCCTTTCAGTTTCCCCAACATACCAAGCTCTTTCCCACCCTGGGCCTTTTATGCCTACTCTGGCCTGTCTATGGAATTCTTCTCCCTCAACTCAGGTCTCAGGGAGATAGTAATTGTCCCTTTTTCGCAATGGCCTTCTTTGATCACCTTAACCTAATTTAGATCTACAATATTCTTTTATGGCACCAAGAACTTTTCTTTCATGACACTTATCACAGTTTACAAGAGTATATTTTGGGGGGATTGCATAACATCTGTCTTCTCCAACAGCTTGGATGCTTCCTGAAGCCAGGAATCCTGTCTGTTCTACTCATGAACGCATCTTTCCACCACAGCGACTGGACTTGGCATGCAGCTGGGCATTCTGTATCCAGCTGACTGATTAAACAGTGAATTCCACTTTCCAAGTTCACACCCAGACTGTTGGCAGCTCTCAGAGAACACACTCTGTGGTTATGTCTAGCCCTGAGAACTCATTCAAGAGGCTTCATCTTTGAAGGCTTTCTGGATTCCCCACCACTGCGCTGCAATTTGGAACTAAGAGGCCATGGCAAGGAGCAGGTGGCACTCAGGAGGTGAGCTGTGTTAAGGGAGAGATCATGAATGAGCCCCAGAGAGAGGATATCAAGGAGGCAGCTGGCTGCTCAGGCTGGTGCTCAGAAGGGCAGCCTGGGTTAGAGTGAGAGAGGACCAACAGCTGGAGCTGTGTGCATAGAGATCTTCCACAGACCCATGCAGAAGAAAGAGTCCAGGACAGGGCCCAAAGGAGGCCGACTTAGGGCTAAGAAAAACAGCCCTGGATGCAAAGAAGCAGTGTCCAGAGAAGTAGGAGTGATATTCAGAGACAGAAAAAATGGTTACCAAAAGCTAGAAAGGAGGACATTTAGGCACTAAAACCTCATACATTTGGATTTTCTTCTTCCTTGTTCAAGATCAGCAGTCTGGCACCTGGTAGATGAGGCAGGCTGGTGAGGTTGAGCTTGGACTGTAAACTAGGCAGGCGTGGTGCCAAACATCTGTAATTCCAGCTACTCAGGAAGCTGAGAGATGAGAATTGCTTGAACCTGGGAGGCAGAGGTTGCAGTGAGCCAAGACTGTCCCGTAGCACTCCAGCCTGAGTGACAGAGCGAGACTCTGGCTTGAAAAAAACAAACAAACAAACAAAAAAAACTTGGACTGTGTCTGAATCCTGACTTTATAATATATTAATACCAGTTGTGTGATCTTGTGTAGTAGACTTGACTTTCCCAGACTCCAAGCCCTCATCTGTATGTCCTTGGGGGGCTGCTGTCAGGATGACATGTGATCCTCTCTGGAAGGCCCTTTGAGCCATGTTTGGTCTAAGGTCCAGGTAATGAATGACATCGTGGCGCATGCACAGCGGGAGAGGGTGCCCTGTTTCCAGGTCACAGGTTGTGTCCTGAGTTCAGCCTTTCACCAATAGCAGTTTCAGACAAAAGTTAAAGAGCCCTCCAACCACCTTCTATTACATGTCCCCTTCCTCTGATGCAATCCCTAATTAAAAACAAAAAAACATATAGTGGGCAGGTTCCATTTAACATGATCCTTCCTCCAAAGCCTCTTTCTGAAAATCAGTTTTCTCCCTGTTCCCAAGGGTGCCCCAGTCATACTATGCCAGAGTGCCCACGTGACTGCAATTAACCCTCAGCTAAGAGCATTTTGCACCCTGTTTTCCAGCTACCCATGGTGACACTCACCTCAACCCTACCTTCTGTGGATATAGGTAAGTATTCTCAGGCCCCTTACTTGGGGATATCATGTCTGCCTGTAGCTTCTGACCATCCCATCTCTGAAGGCAAGAGAAGTGTGTGGTAACATTTCACAGCTTAGAAAGCACTTCTCAATACAGCCTCCCTTTCATCCTCACGACTGCCCGGTGAGGTAGATACAGCAGGTTACAGCTATAGTGGTTTGCATTGATCAAGCACTTACAATGTACCATGCTCTGTGTGAAGCATTTTCATATGTGATCCCATTGAAACTCATGAAAACTCTATGAACATGATGTCTGCCACAATCATCAACCAGTGCCTCCACTTTACAGAAGAGAAAAATAGAGGGGTTTGTAACTTGCCTCAAATCAAAGAGGTAGTAAGTAATGGAACCAGAATTCAAACCTCAGACTGACTGACTCCAGAGCCACACTCTTAATCCTCCTACAATATTGCCTCACAAAGCAAGCATTTACTCCCCAGACATTATTCTACCCATTAAATAGAAGCTCAGAGAGGTAAAGTGACTTGCCCAAGGTCTCGCCACCAGGAACTGGTAGAGCTAGGATCCATACTTAGATTCTCTGGCTCAGAGGCCCGTGAAACCAAAAAGGCAAGATTCAATATTCTAGGTAAAATTTCAGCAGACTTGACTTGCCAACGTTGCTCAGCCCAGAGTAGTGTTCCTTTTTCTTTTTTGAGATGGAGTCTCACTCTGTCATCCAGGTTGGAGTGCAGTGGCGCAATCTCTGCTCACTGCAACTTCCACTCCCTAGGTTTAAGCGATTCTCCTGTCTCAGCCTCCTGAGTAGCTGGGACTACAGGTGTGTGCCACCATGCCCGGCACTTTTTTTTTTGTATTTTTAGTAGAGATAGGGTTTCACCTTGTTGGCGCGACTGGTCCTGAACTCCTGAACTCAATTGACCCGACTGCCTCAGCTTTCCCAAAGTGCTGGGATTATAGGCATAAGCCAGTACACCCAGACCCAAAGTAGTGTTTCTATGCAGGAAATCCCTTCTGGCATTTATCAGGAAATGTGTATGTTTTTCTGAATCCCAAAAACAATCAGTCAAGAAATTGGGAAAGCAGAGAAAAGCATTATAATTCTCCTGTGAGAATGAATGCTTAACAATCAACATAGAGGCATTTCGGGGTTTTTGTTTTGTTTTGGTTTGGTTTTTGAGACAAGAGTCTCACTCTGTTGCCCAGGCTAGAGTGCAGTGGCAAGATCTCAGCTCACTACAACCTCTGTCTCCTGGGTTCAAGCAATTCTCCTACTTCAGCCTCCAGAGTAGCTGGGATTACAGGCACCTGCCACCATGCCCAGCTAGCTGGGATTACAGGCGCCCCCACCACGCCCAGCTAATTTTTACATTTTTAGTAGAGATGGGGTTTCACCATGTTGGCCAGGCTGATCTTGAACTCCTGACCTCAGTGATCTGCCTGCCTCAGCCTCCCAAACTGCTTGGGATAACAAGTGTGAGCCACCGCACCCGGCCAGCATTCCTGGTTTAAAGAAATTGACTGATGTTAAGTTGAAAGCAAGAGAAGTCCACATTGACAAACGGAGTCTAAATTAAGGTACTGTAATCCCAGCACTTTGGGAGGCTGAGGTGGTTGGATCATTTGAGGTCAGAAGTTTGAGACCAGCCTGGCCAATATGGAAAAACTCTCTCTCTAGAAAACATACAAAATTTTGTGGCTGTGGTGGCATGTGCCTGTAATCCCAACTACTCGGGAGGCTGAGGCAGGAGAATTGCTTGAATCCAGGAGGCAGAGGTTGCAGTGAGCCGAGATCATGCCACTGCACTCCAGCCTGGGACATGGAGCAACATGGTCTCAAAAAAAATAATAATAATAATAAAGAGTACACAGGAGATAAGTAGTCACAATCCTTTCTGTAGCTGTTGACACACTAAAAGTATATTTGTGGCTCTATTCACTGAGTCATTCTCACAAATATTAATGTTTACGTGCAGTGTATTTTATACAAATCCTATGAATGATGTTCTAATAACAAATTTTGGAAACAAATAAGTCCTTAAATTGGCAATTTCTCTCCCTCTTTTTTTAAGAGACAGGGTCTTGTTGTGTTACCTAAGCTGGAGTGCAGTGGTGCAATCATAACTCACTATAGCCTCAAACTCCTGGGCTCAAGCGATCTTCCTGCCTTTGCCTCCCAAAGTGCTGGGATTACAGGCATGTGCCAAAACACTCAGCCTAAGCTGGCAATTTCAACTCATGATTCTGTGTAGTGTTGCTAATATTGTCAAATATTTGAACATTTTGTTATTTAAATACTACCCAATAATGTTCTTTGGCATTTTCCAGTTACTGAATATTTGCTATGGCCTACAATTCTTTGTAACTACTACTAAATGTGTATTTCTTATTAAAAAATACAGAAGTTATGAAAAATACAGATAACATGTTTTCAGGAATTCCCCCAAGTTCCAATTTTTCATTCCCAATTTCTGAAGATTAGTATCCTTTTTGGGAACTTGTAAATCTTAGCCCAGAGGAACTGGATGAACTTCCCAGACAATCCAGTGGGATGGCAAATGAAGAGACGTCATCCTCGTTGACCTCCAGGAAGGCTCTACACAGGAGCTGGTCCTGGAGTGGAGCTTCCTTCTCCAACGTTACCCTGGAGATGTCTGAGAAAAGGTCACTCCAGAATGTCATGGGCTGGGCCTAAAACATTGGCTTGAAGCATGAAATTTCTGCGTCATCTCAATCATGCAACTGTTAACTTTCATCCCAGGGAGTATCTGCTCACTTCAGTGTAAAAAGCTTTTTCTATAATTCACCAGGGAAAAATGAAGGCTCTCCATAAATGGAGGCCCTGTTAACCCATGGCCTTAACCCCGCTGTGCCCCAGCACGAGAAGCCGCACAGCAGTGGTGGCTGTGGAGTCAGGCAAGCAGGCAGGCAGGCAGGCAGACCTGCGTCTGAATTCTGGTTCTGCCACATACTGGCTGTGTGACTTTGGGCAGGTTCCTTAACCTCTCAGAGACTCAATTTCTCCATCTGCAAAATGCGGATGATGATATCCATGCCACAGGGATGCAGTGAGGACTAAATGACATCAGTCACAATGCCTGGTACAAAGTAAGCCTTCAATAAACGGGAGGCGTTATTATTTTATAGTACAACAGACCCAATGGTGAAGTCAAGAAGTGAAGAGCTTGGTGAAGGGCCTGGGAACCACCCAAAATTCTCGGGCAAGGATTCTCCAGGTAGGTTAGGCCACTGGCTCTCCGCGCCAGAAGTCTCCGTGCCTCCACACAGTTCCGTAGCGAGAGGCGGGCGCCTGCGCTGAAAGGCCACTGGTCCACGTGGGCTCCCAGGTTGGCCTGTGAGCCTGGCGCCCTGGTGGAAGCGCCTGATACACGTCCTCGGGCGCAGGAAGTCACCCAGCGCTGGCGTCCCTAACCCCTGGAAGGCAGGGCTGCTACCGCGCGGGGGTCTCTGCGAGTGCGCAGGCTTCTACGCATGCGTGGACGTCCGAGCGCCACGTCGGCGTGGCGCGGTGCAGCCGAAGGCGCGAGGCCGCGGGTTCGGCGTGCCAGTCCCCGCCACAGTCCCTGTCCCCTATGGACCCGGAGGCTCAGCACCGGCGGGACTCCGGACTCGGCGCCTCTCCTGGCGTGGAAGGCGCCTCGCATGGCACACTGGGGCCGCTGGGCGCGTGGCCGTGCGGGTGCGTGAGGAGGTGGGCGGGGCAGCCCAGTGTACCCCTCGCCGGTACTCGCTGGCGGCTAGGCCTCTTGCAAGGTGGCCTCGGGCGCTGGGTGTGGTCCGAGTTCTGCCCCAAGCCCTTCCCACGCATTCGGGTGCAGGTGGCGAGCCAGTTGGTGCTGCGGCCTAAGGTTCGGGCAGGTGTAGGGCCGCTCGCCCCGATGTTACCGCGGTGGGTGAGCTACGAAGCACTTTCCGCCCTTAGGGCACAGGTAGTGGCTGGATCTTGGGGCAACCAAGGGAGGCTTTAGGGGCCTTGGCTTGCTCGGGGAGCCCACTCACCTCCCCTTACCCTGGGGGATCGTCCTGGGTGCCCTCGGGGACTTGCTGCCTCCCCCGGGAGCTCTGGTGTCCGGCACCGCGGTGGAAGTGGGCCGGGCATTCGTTCTGAGGCCCCTCCTGGGCAGGAGCCTCCTGAGGGGCTCTGCCTTCAGCCCCTTTTCGTGGAGGGCTCTCCTCGTCATTCTCACTCCCGAATCCTGTAAGAAGAAGAGAATAATCTGAGTAGTGTTTCCTTTTCTTCTCACCTCACTGACTTTCCACCAACCTGCCCCATTTAGGACTTCTTAATTGCTTTTGCAAGCGATTAAGTTCTGCATATTAGACAGCAGGCAGAGGGTGAGGCAAGGCCTTGTAGGAAATCTATAGAAACTCAGCTTTTGAAATTAGTACTGGATTTGAATCCCAGTTCCAACCATTACTTGTAGTGTAACCTTGGACAAGCTACATAACTTCTTGTTCAGCTGTAAGACGGGGACAGTGGTAATGGCAGCCTCAAAGGTTCTGTCAGTGTGGTTGGTGTATCCACAGGCCATCGGGGATATGTTAAATTGGAAAGATAAATATAAACCTTTACCTTTAAGAAAATTTTTGGCCGGGCACAGTGGCTTATCCCTGTAATCCCAGCACTTTGGGAGGCTGAGGCGGGTGGATCACCTGAGGTCAGGAGTTCAAGACCAGCCTGACCAATATGGTGAAACCCTGTCTCTACTAAAAATACAAAAATTAGTCCGGCGTGGTGGCATGTGCCTGTAATCCCAGCTACTCAGGAGGCTGAGACAGGAGAATCGCTTGAACCCGGGAGGTGGAAGTGGCAGTGAGCCGAGATTGCACCACTGCACTCCATCCTGGACGACAGAGCAAGACTCTGTCTGGAGAAAAAAAAAATTTAGAAGAGCACGGTGGTTTAGCCTGTTATCCCAGCACTTTGGGAGGGAGGCCACAGAAGGATGATTGCTTGGGTTCAAGGCTAGCCTGGGGCCAGGCTTGGTGGCTCATGCCTCTAATCCCAGTACTTTGGGAGGCCAAGGTGGGCAGATCATTTGAGGTGAGAAGTTCAAGACCAGCCTGGCCAACATGGTGAAACCCCATCTCTACTGAAAATATAAAAATTAGCTGGGCATGGTGGTGTGGTACCTGTAATCCCAGCTACTATGCTGAGGCACGAGAATTGCTTGAGCCTGGGAGGCAGAGGGAGGCAGAGGTTGCAGTGAGCTGAGATTGCACCACTGCACTCCAGCCTGCGTGACAGAGTGGGACTTCATCTCAAAAATTAAAAAAAATTAAAAAAAAAGGACCAGCCTGGGTAACGTAGCAAGATTCCGTCTTTATAAAATATTAAAAAATTAGCCCAGCATGATGGCATGTGCCTGTAGTCCCAGCTATTGGGGTGGGGGATGGGGTGGCAAGGTGAGAGGATCACTTTAGTCTGAGAAGTCCAAGCTGCAGAGAGCTATGATCACGCTACTGCACTCCAGCCTGGGCAACAAAGCAAGAACCTGTCTCTCTCTCTCTTTTTCTCTCTCTCTCTTTTCTTTAAGACAGAGTCTTGCTCTGTTGCTCAGGCTGGAGTGCAGTGGGGCAATCATAGCTCACTACAGCCTCAAACTCCTTATCTCAAGTGGTCCTCCCACCTTAGCCTCCCAAGTAGCAGGGACTTACAGGTGCACATCACCATGCCTGGTTAATTTTTGTATTTTTTGTAGAGATAGGGTTTTGCCATGTTGCCCAGGCTGGTCTTGAACTTTTGGGCTCAAGTAATCTGCCCACTTCAGCCTCCCAAAGTGCTGGGATTACAGGTGTGAGCCACTTGCCTGGCCAAGACCCTATCTCTTTAAAAAATTCTTTTTCAACTGTCGTCACTGAGTGAAACTTTGCCACCCTACTAACACTTACGTATATCCTTAATACCCAGTTAGTTGTTGGTGCCTAATAGCATTTATCATTAAAATAACCAGGAGTTCTTGGAGGGTGGCTGATTACTTTTTTTTTTTTTGAGATGGATTCTTGCTCTGTTGTCCATGCTGGACGGAGTACAGTGGCTCCCTGTCAGCTCACTGCAAGCTCCGCCTCCCAGGATCAAGCAATTCTCCCACCTCAGCCTCCCAAGTAGCTAGGATTTAGAGACGGGGTTTCATCATGTTGGCCAGGCTGGTCTTGAACTCCTGACCTCAGGTGATCCACCTGCCTTGGCCTTCCAAAGTGCTGGGATTACAGGAGTGAGCCACCTCGCCCTGCCTAATTACATTTCTTGAGACAAGAAAAATGAGGATGGGTTTATAGCATCCTGCTAATACCAGAAAAAAAAAATAAATATATATATAAAAAGGAGGGGGGGGGGGGCGGAGGGAGTTTTGCTCTTATTGCCCAGGCTGGAGTGCAGTGGTGCAATCTTGGCTAACCTCAACCTCAACCTCGGCCTCCAGGGTTCAAGTAATTCTTCTGCCTCAGCCTTCCATGTAGCTGGGATTATAGGCATATGCCACCACACCTGGCTAATTTTTGTATTTTTTTTAGAAGTGGGGTTTGTCCATGTTGATCAGGCTGGTCTTGAACTCCCGACCTCAGGTGATTCACCTGCCTTGGCCTCCCAAAGTGCTGGGATTACAGGCATGAGCCACAGTGCCAGGCTGGTAAGGATATTTTCTTTCTTTCTTCTTTTTTTTTTTGAGACAGAGTCTTGCTCTCTTGCCTAGGCTGGAGTGCAGTGGTGCAATCTCAGCTCACGGCAACCTCCATTTCCTGGGTTCAAGCGATTATCCTGCTTCAGCCTCCTGAGTAGCTAGGACTACAGGCGCCCACCACGCCCAGCTAATTTTTGTATCTTTAGTAGAGATGGGGTTTCACCATGTTGGCCAGGCCAGTCTCGAAGTCCTGACCTCAGGTGATCCACCTGCCTCGACCTCCCAAAGTGTTGGGATTACAGCCCTGAGCCACTGTGGTTGCCAAAGATGACCGCTACTAGCTGTAACAATTTTAATCATGCTTAAGTAAAATGTCTGGGAAATGATGTCTTTAAGTCCTTAAAAGTAGAAAGTTATGAAAGAGTCTTCAAAAAGGTCATTGTACTCTCTAATAAAGGTAATAACAATAAAATATAATTTGACAACTGTTGTCAGTAGGAGTGTTAATATATAGGCATTTTGTTTCTTCTGTTTTTCTTCTCTAAGGAATAAATATAAACTTGTTTTTTTCTGTGCAAAAAGGAAAGAATAGAACCAGAGAACTCTGTCCAGTAACCCTGGGAAAAGCAAACCTCCACCATGACTGGGCAACACTTATGAACCCGTGAAGTGACCAGGTATGAGATTTCAGTAGTTTGTTCTGAATAGTAGTTTGATGATGAATTACTCATTTGCCCTAATGAGAACTAACTTAAACACGACTCCTTATCGCCAGTATTTCTTTAAAGTTTCCCAGGTTGAGAAAATAGTTCTCAACCTGGGAAACTTTAAAGAAATACAGATCTTTAGGTCCCTTCGCAAAAGATACCCAGATAGAAATGTAAAATGGTGCAGGTACTATGGGAAATAGGCAAGTTCTCAGAAACAATCTGCAGTGTATAAAGAACTCCTGCAACTCAACAACAAGAAAAAGAACGAACTAAAAAAATGGCAAATAGCTGGGCACAGTGGCTCATGCCTGTGATCCCAGCACTCTGGGAGGCCTAGGTGGGCGGATCGCTTGAGGTCAGGAGTTTGAGACCAGCCTGGCCAACATGGTGAAACCCCATCTCTACTGAAAATACAAAGTTAGCTGGGCCTGGTGTTGCATGCCTATAATCCCAGGTACCTGGTGTTGCACGCCTATAACCCCAGGCTGAGAGAGGAGAAGAATCCCTGGAATCTGGGAGGTGGAGGTTGCAGTGAGCTGAGATTATGCCACTGCACTCCAGCCTAGGCAACAGAGCAAGACTCCATCTCAAAAAAAAAAAAAAAAAAAAAGAAAAAGGCCAGGTGCGGTGGCTTATGCCTGTAATCCAGGCACTTTGGAAGCTGAGGCAGGTGGATCACGAGATCAGGAGATGGAGACCATCCTGGCCAACATGGTGAAATCCTGTTTCTAATAAAAATATAAAAATTAGTTGGGCCTGGTGGCATGTGCCTGTAATCTCAGCTACTCAGGAGGCTGAGGCAGGAGAGTCGTGTGAACCAGGGTGTTGAAGGTTGCAGTGAGCTGAGATAGTGTCCCTGCACTTCAGCCTGGGTGAGAGTGAGACTCCATCACCAAAAAAAAAAAAAAAAAGCAAAGGACTAGACATTTATCCAAATAAGATATACAGTGGTCAACAAGCACATGAGAAAATGCTCATCACTAATCATTAGGGAAATGCAAATCAAAGCCACAGTGGTATCATCTGACACCCATCAGGATGGCTACTGTCAACAGAAAATAAGTGTTTGGTGAGAATGTAGAGAAATGGAAACCCTTGTGCACTGTTGGTAGAAATGTAAAATGGTGCAGGTACTACAGGAAATAGGCAAGTTCTCAAAAATAATCTAGCAATTCCAGCTGCTGGGTATATACCAAAAATAATTGAAAGCAAGGTCTCAAAGATATTGAAACACCCATAGCAGCAGTATTCACAGTAGTAAAAGGAGGGAAGTGCCAATTGACAGATGAGTGGATAAACAAAATGTGGTATTAACATACAGAGGAATGGCCGGGTGCGGTGGCTCACACCTGTAATCCCAGCACTTTGGGAGGCCAAGGCGGGTGGATCACGAGGTCAAGAGATTGAGACCATCCTGGTCAACATGGTGAAACCCCGTCTCTACTAAAAATACAAAAAAATTAGCTGGGCATGGTGGCGCGTGCCTGTAATCTAAGCTACTCAGGAGGCTGAGGCAGGAGAATTGCCTGAACCCAGGAGGCGGAGGTTGCGGTGAGCCGAGATCACGCCATTGCACTCCAGCCTGGGTAACAAGAGCGAAACTCTGTCTCAAAAAAAAAAAAAAAACATACAGAGGAATGTTATTCAGCCTTGAAAAGGAAGAGAGTTCTGACTCATGCTATAACATGGATGAACCCAGAGGACATCATGTTAAGTGAAATAATCTAGCCACAAAAGGATAAATACTGTATGATTCCACTTACATGAAATACCTAGAGCTGTCAAATTCATAGAAACAAAAAGTGAAATGGTGGTTGCCAAGGCATGGGGGGAGGGGAGAATGGAGAGTTGTTGTTTAATGAGTAC